CTTAAAAAAGAATTATATACAATGTGCTTTGCCGGCTCCTCGTGGCCTTTGGATACATTTAGCAGGTTCTGACCAGATAAGGCATATTTGTCCTGAGGATATAAACCAATAATTCCAACCTGAATTGAGATCAATGGGCCCACATTCGTTCTAACCCACACTGAGGCTCTTCCGGCTCGTTGAGACTGCTTGTCTGTGTTATGAGAGCAGAGAATGGGCTTCGCGCGCTGGCAGGGAAATCACGTTCTATAGACTCTGATGCCTTAAGTCAATTAATTACACAATTCAGTTTAGTTATCTTTTTAGAAGCATTAAATCCTCACAAGCAGCATGGAAGACCTCTCTGTAAAAAAGAGGGGTGGGTGGGAATGAGGATATTTTACATTACAAAACCCTTATAATTTATGGTGAAGGTTTCATTTATGTTAACTGTTTTTTTCCTCGTAAAACAGTGCTTTTTTTTTTTATAGCTTCACAAATATAATTATATGGGGGGTGTATTTAAAACAACGTAACGACTGATAGGGTAAAGGCGAAACATAGCATTGTAAAGTCAAAACAAGAGATGCTGCAGAAGCAGCAGCTGTGGTGGATGGTGGTGAGGTGCAGAGAGCCAGATGCAGGGAGGGAAAGGCACGTGTGTGTTTGTGTGTGTGTGCGCGCGTGCACTTGCACATCCATGCACACAGCCTCACATGTGTATATGCATGTGTGTACATCCATGCACACACCTACACATGTGTATATATGTGTGTATATGTGCACACACCCATGCACGCATACCCGTATTTATGGATATACCCCTGTGTATATGTGCACGTATCTATACACACATATTTTTTTTAGGGTATTGCTGAAAAGGGTGGGAGTATCATTTTCCTCATGGAATAATGTTTTCTGGGAAAACACAAAAGCAGATGGTCTTCATTAGGAACACCCATTGTCCGCAGATCCCAACTATGAGCAGATAAATCTCTCCTGTTTCAGCCGTGCATTCCAAGGCCTGTGAATGATTACAGGATGTTGGTGTAGCTGCTAAACCAGAACCACGCTCTGCCTCTCGCCCTCCTCCCAAGCCACCCCGGTGTCTCCTGGACCCTCTGCGAGCGCCGGGGAGGGTCCACGCGGCCACCTCCCCTCCCGGCTGGGCCACACTGGACCAGAGGTGCAGGGTCCAGCTGTTGCCAGGTGGAGAGGCCGGTCAGGGTGGCGGCGGGGGCGCGGGTCACACACCGTGTGCTCGCTCGGCGGGGCGGGTCCAGATGGTGTCGTCTCCGGCGCCCCGCTCGCTGGCATCTCTGTGGCGGGCAGTGCCCCCTCCCCGGTAAATCTGGCATGGGCCTATGGAGTTTGCGAGACTTATCATTCCAAGTCTGTCCTACTTTCCTGTCTGGAAGCCAGACATCTGTTTATCCCATTTTCTTTCATACAGAGTTTGGAATAGCTTTGGTTTGAAGGGGGGGAGTTTTGTCATATTTAACAGCTGTTACAAAATTTCAACCCTGTGGGCTCCGAAAATACTTTTCAGCTGACCTCAGATTTTTTATACATAATTGACCCTGGGCTGTAGAGAAATATCATTGGCTTAACCTCTCATTGTCTGCGATTTCACATGGTCTTTGGTCGGACGCGCTGGCTGGCCGCGCGTTCGACTCCCCCCACTGCCCAGCAGCCCTCCAGAGCCTGCCTTTGATTCATTTACAAGTTTTAAGCTTGCACCTTTGACGGGATGGCAGCGTGGTAGCCGGAGACCCGACTGGAGGCTCTCTCTCTCCCCTCTTTTTTCTTGGGCAACAGTGTCTCCTTTCACTTCCTGTCACAAAGGTCAAAGAGAGCCGACCTTTGCTGGCCGCGGTCCTCGCTGAATTATTCATGGCATCGACTTTTTGTCGGCGCGCACAGTTGTGCTCTGGGACATTTTATTCATTTACCTCATTTAAAGCGCCTTTCTGCACCTGTTCAAGCATTAATATCATGTAATTTGGGCCTAATGCCGATTTTGCTGAACACTCATTATATTTTTTATTAGCTATATTTCCAAACGATTATGTATGATTATTACCAAGCCTTACAAACAGCACCGGGTTATTCCCTAGCCCCTTACATCTTCTTGTCAGGTTGTTTTCAGAAGCAGGGAGGATAAACATTTGACCAGTCCCAATGTTTTTATTCCTTCTCCATCTCCAAGCGGAGAACTTAAGGCTCCCTCCCTCATGGCTTTGCACGGGCGTGATTAAATCCAACTCCGAGGGAGCTGTACAAATGCCAACATTTATAAGGTCAACGCTTTTGTTAAAAACGCTATGTAAATGAGGATCTGCAAAAAGGGACATTAAATAAAATTAAATTCATTGTCTTCTTTAATGTCATTTACATTTTGGCTAAGCCCCGGCCTGTCAAGGAGGATTTTAAAAATAATTTTAATTACACATCATTTAGGGATCCAAGGTTTTCTGTGCAGTAGCATTTGGATAACCTGCAAAACGGAGACTGTTTATTA